GAAGTAAGCCCACTTGTAACGGCTCTCTACGAGCGCACCGACGAGACCGGTGATGACCATGATCTCATCAACGACAACAACCCACATGATGGTAGGCCATGGCATGCCGGCAGTGAGGAGCAAGTCGATGAGCAGAAGAGGCGTGGTGATGAACCAATCGATGTATCGGACGTAGTAGATCGAACGGTAGGTTCCTGCTACCTTAGGGTCGCTACGGGGGAATTCGACTGCGATAGGTGTGAAGCCCAAGTTGGCTCCCATGGTGACTGTGAAAGTTAAAATCAGTACACATCCTCATGCTTGAATGGGAAGCGCTTGACTTACAGTAGGCGATGCATGCGACGAAGACTACGGAAGCAGTGATGTAGTGGAAAAGACGGTCGCGACGCGCCTTGCGGTATCCAAGACCGATGAAGATGAATCCAGAAAGACCCATGGCGGCGCAGATAGCGAAGTAGAAGTCGGATCCATGTGTGGTAATGGCGATGTCTGCCGTCGCACCATTGACGGTGTTGTCATTGAGGTTCAGCGCATTGTTCCTGCGAAAGAGATCCATTGCGAAAACAGTGGTAAAATGCCAAATGAATTGTATGGGCTGGAATGTACCAAGAGGACTGCTTAACGAAGACAAGAGGTAGCAGGTACTGGTTATATCTTGGACTACGCGCCCATGAGATCCAGAGATGCCATCATGACGACATACCTCGAGCGGATTGGAGCTTGATCATGCAGCATGTCAAAACCCTCAATCGACCAGGGGCCCAGACTAGGCCGGGACTTGTCACTCAAGAGCCAGTGACGGTGAGTGATGGCCAGTCAGAAGCATGCGTTGTGTTTAGCATTTCCAGTTTCTCTGGTCCAAATGGCTGATTTCAGTGACGGCTGCTCGGTGCAATAGCCATGTCACACTAGGATCATCATCATCATCGACGCTAAAGATTCTGAGCATAGCGCCCGGCCTTTCCGTCTCACCACCTGAGCGAGCGCCACTAGGATTAAGCTTTATGACGTTGATCTATTGAGCTTACTTCGACATCGACTTGCATCTGTTGCATAACGCCAACCGAGTCAACTTAACGCTGGCGTTGAGTTGGCTCAAGGCTAGTTTGTGTTTTATCGTGTGTTGAGAGTGTTTGATGATGTTGACACAGAGTTTCGTTGTGAGATCGTGAGAAGGGCCTTTTGGATGCGCATCATGAGGGGAGAATGCGCATCGTGAGGGGAAGAAATGCATGGCAGCGTATCATTACCGTAACGGCAATATCGTGGTGGTGTGATGTTCTTGTCACTCACTGCCCAGGCAGGCATCGTTCCTATCGGTTGTTTTACGTCAGTGCGGGAGTCGAGTAGATCAACAGCTACGGCAGGGATCGGCGCAACGAAGCTTTCTGTACAAAGCGGGGCAAATCTAGATGCCGCATTGACTAGGCCAACGTCGCACATCACCAGGACAACACTCGGCACATGTGAAGAGCGGTAGTATGAAGCTTTGGATATTAAAACTCGTGGAAAGAGTTTGTCGACTACGTAAGAAGGTGGTAGCGCTAACGTCTCGAAACCATTCGATCCGTTAGACAAGTGGTCCGAACACAGAGGCGTCACTAGCCCAGACAACTAACTAGAGCTTTTCGCAAATTGCTCGATCCTGCCTCAGACTGCGTTTCTGACACGGATCGCACGCTTGCGATTTCTCGCTGTTGAGCAATGTCCTCTTCTGTAAACCAGTTCCCGTGCAAGCCGTAGGGTATTCTAGCGCCGAGTTGGATCTTGCAGACGACAGTCTGCATGTCCCGTGCATCCAATACCCATAACTCGCTCTCTGCATCTGGCTTGCATTCCCCGTCTTCATCCAACTGGTCCTCGTTGAAGACGTAGAACAGAAGGTACCCGTCTTCTTCGACGAAATCCGCATCATCACCACTTGCACTCTTCGCTGAACGAGGTACAAACCTGGCTTCCTGTCCAAAGTGATTGGGTGGAAGGTGGAATGCTTTGATAGGATCATCGCGGTCGTCTGACGCAAGTATCTCGTCTATTGTACGGGTGTCGATGCAGCCGTCCACAGCCTGTGGAGGTGATTTCTGGGCACGATTGAGCAGCGTCTGCACATCAACTCTTACGAGTATGTCGATCTTCGTCGCCTTGCCCAATGCCGCGCCAAATGATTCGTCAGAAGTGCTACATCCGTAAATGTACCGTGCGCGTGACATTTCGGTGAAGGGCGAGATGGTGGGGAATTCGAAAGGGATCGCTGCCAAGGCAAACTCATGTGTGATAGTGTTCGATGAGCCCGGCGCGAGTGAGAACCGGTAGTAATACAGCCGACATTGTTCCTCGTCGTCATGTGAGATGGGAACGTTGTGGGGTGCCTTTGATGACTCTGGTTCGTTGTGGACTCCTAGCAAAGGCGAAGTTTCATCTGAATGAGATTTCTCGGGATCTTGTACATGCTCTTCGTCATCGTATTTGGCGAAGAAAGACATGGGTCTGCTCGCTTGCTTGTGGCTTGGGTTTGGAGGAGGTTCAATGTTTCCGGCACTGAACACAAGAGATGCGGTAGTCAACCGACAAGCTAGCATGTTAACGGCTGATATATCGCCGGTGCTGTTGTACTCATCCCAAGTGTTGGCCGTGTGAAGGATACAACAACCGTCTGTCTCGAACCAACGTACTAATTCCGGGTGTCGCCGGGGAAAGACACCGAATCTGGCGGGTTTCTCGGGTTGGTAAAAGACAATGGGCTTGTTCATTGCCAAGTTCAATGGGGTCAGGGAGAGCGGTAGGTCGAGTATGACAGTATTGTGTCGTGACACACCGAAATCGTGCATGAGCTTGCCGCCAGAGCACCCGGGTACTGGCGCGTTGATTAATCTGCTTCCCTCTGAACCTGATCTCTTTGCAACAGAGCCTTCTGCTGGAAGTAGGGAATAGTGAACGTAGGGCGCGACGAAGTTGCAATGGAACAGAACCATCTCGTTCGTGACCTTGTCGACCTTGGGATGACCCGTTGTCCACTCTTTCATCCAGCTCAGTACACCAGTTCCACCAAGAGCTTCAGGCTGTTTCTCGTCGTTCTTGTCCTTGTCGCCGGGTGTGGCCTCGCCTTCAGCCCGGTTACCGTCGAACCAGCCGACGGTTTCCAGACTTGGCAACGCAATGCGCATTGGCGGTCCGCTCTCACATGTCGCCAACGCACGTCCATCGTGGTATAGTATGCTGGTGTTGGCGACGCTGATGCGCTTGATAGCGCGTGCAGAGCCTGAGAGATGGGTCCAGAAGACGACCAGTACAGTACGTAGGATGCGCCAGAGGATAAGCAACAAGCTGGAGGCAGGGTTGACCAGGGTCGCGATGCTAGGTAGGATAGGCGTGCGCAGACTCGGGTTCTCAACGGCGGTGCGGTACACGTCGGTGGTGATGAATTGGTTGACGAACTTGACAGCGGGCTTGGTAGGGTCGGCGACAGAGCGACTGAACCAGACTCCAGCGAGCATGCCGTCGCCGTCGAACCAATGCGCTTCACGTCCCAAGTCGGAATTGGTCACGGGATTGCCACCGTTGCGGACGTACATGCCGCCCAGCAGCTCTGGTGGAATGCGGCCGGTCCATGAGACAGGCGTAGGAGGACATGTTGTAGAGACAGGCGCGAAGTTGCCAGAGAGATATCTGGAGCGGGTTAGTCAGGGCCGTGTAGGGCAATGAGCAGGAAGGCGTACGGGTGTTTAGGCGTCGACTTGCTGCTGTTCGGTCCAGGCGTGGACATTACGGCGGTATTATTAGCTTGGCGGCATTGGAGAACGGTTTGGTTCAGGACAACGGCGCAGGCAATCCATTAGTACAGCGCGTGCAGTCTTCACGTGTCGCCGCGGCCGTGGGGAGGCAGGGCACGGAGGCAGGATCAGGAGCTGGTGACATGATATGATGCAACAATGGCAGGGCTGCCCGCTTCCACGGGTATCCGGTTGACATGTGCTCCACGGCCTTGGTCGTGATGGCGGCCGGGCAATCGTGATGTCATGTCGAGGCTTGCATGCCCGCTAGGCCGCTTGGGGCAGCGCGCATCCTTCACAGCCGCCCGAGCAGCGCCGTCTCAACCATGTTGCAAATATTCTCCATCATGGCCTCTCTTGCGCATTATCTTGTGCCTGACGCCCGCCGCGGCCTAGTCTCTCCCCCTGCCGCATTGGCTCCATGAGTGACGCCGATTGCACATCTCTCCGGCTACTCCCTTCTGCTCCCACGGTGCCATCATGGGCTTCGACTACGCGCTCGTGTACGTGACGCGCCTCCTACGTTACTCCAACATGGCTGACAGTGACGGCTAGTCATCTCAAGTACACGATCCCTCCGGCCGTGTTGCTCACCTGGCTATACCGCCCTTTCTTTACTAAACTCGACGTGTACAAGGTCGTCTATCTGATAGTGGTTGGTACGCGCATCCTCGTCAACATACTTCGTGCTAACACATCAGGTTGCCGTTGGCTCGACTATACCATGGGATTCCTACCTTATCCGCACCGGCATCTGGAGCTACCCCGCCCATGTCATTATCGGTCCAAAGCTGCTTGATATTCCGCTGGAAGAGGTCTTCTTCTTTGTCGTGCAGACATACAATACATCAGTCTTGTACCTTCTCCTCAGTCGGCCCACCTTTCAGCCTGTCTATCTAAGTCCGGAACGTGGCGCGTCCAACACCCGATGGGCATACACGAAACGTATTGGCCAGGTCTTCTTTCTGGGTGTCATCGCCTGGGGATGGCGTTGCATCAAGGATGACAGCATGGGCACATACACTGGACTCATTCTAATATGGGCCGGCCCCTTCCTGCTGCTGCTCTGGTAAGCCAACCGCTATTGCATCCCGGATTCCTGCTAATTAAATCTAGGAGTCTCGCCTATCAGTTCATTCTGGCCCTTCCTCTGACCAACACCGCGATACCCATTATTCTTCCTACACTCTACCTCTGGATAGTCGACACCCTAGCCTTGCGCAGAGGAACATGGGTAATCAACACAGGTACAAAATATGGTGTGCACTTGTGGGACGGTCTCGAGGTTGAGGAAGCCCTCTTCTTCCTCGTCACCAACTGCCTCATAGTGTTTGGTCAATTAGCATTTGACAATGCCCTTGCAGTGCTGTACACGTTCCCGGCCATGTTTGCGAAGCCCTCCCTGCTTCCATCACCCAAAAAGCTGATGGGCGCTCTGCTCACACCATGCTCCAAGTACGATGATGCCCGCCTTATAGGCCTTAGCGAGGCTGTGCAACGTCTCAAGCGTAAGAGCCGTAGTTTCTACCTGGCCTCCGCAACTTTCCCCGGACCATTACGAGCAGACCTCCTGCTGCTCTACTCCTTCTGCCGCGTTGCTGACGATCTGGTGGACAATGCTTCCTCCGCTGATGAAGCCAAGGCCTGGATAGCGAAACTGCGCAAGTTCCTAAACAATACGTATAGCGATTCTGCTTCCAAGTCTACAGTACATGACCAAGTTCGCGAGGACTTTCCTGCTGCCACACAATCTGCGCTCCTCCAGCTTCCAGCCGTTAAACTCTCGCATCAACCACTGGAGGATCTTCTACGCGGCTTCGAGATGGATCTTGCTTTCGAGAAGGGACCCCTGATCAAGAGCACGGAGGATTTGCGCTTGTATTCAGAGCGCGTAGCGGGCACTGTAGCTCAGATGTGTATTCAACTCATCTTCAACTGGTATCCCAGCGCCTTGCCCGCCGAAGAACAGCGTGCCATAGTCACTGCTGGGAACAGCATGGGTGTCGCCTTGCAATACGTCAACATTGCGCGAGATATACAAGTAGACGCTAAGATAGATCGTGTTTATCTTCCTTTGGAATGGCTGTCTGAAGTTGGATTGAGTTACGATGAGGTATTGAAAAAACCGGACCACGCACAGATCGAGACGCTACGTAAGCGTCTTCTTAAGGACGCGTTTTCTTTGTATGAGAAAACCAAGGTTGCAATCGAGCAATTACCAGTTGAAGCGAGAGGGCCAATTCGGGTCGCGGTCGAGAGCTATATGGAGATTGGGAGGGTGTTGAAACAGGACAATTTTAAGGTCAAGGCCGGTCGCGCAACTGTGCCGAAGCCTAGGCGGATAATGGTCGCTTGGAGAACACTTAATCGTTAATAATACAACTCGAGATTTTGATATCCTGAAAGCTCGGACATAATTTCGGACATAATCGCGCCTATCCGCATTTGGCCGCACGTGCAGTAACGCGTCCCCCGACTTAGCTCTAACCTGAACTGTCTCTTCACCATCAACCATATCTGCGGACAAACCGAACAAGTGTGACATGTACCAAAACCGGCTACTAGACCCAGCGGGCGCATCTCTCGCTGCTACTAGCAGGAAGAGGAAGGGTGGGCCGCGAACCGTAAACCGACCTGCAAAGGGCAATTACAAGAAACTACTATGGTTCAAGCAGCCCTGTGAGTACTCACGCAGGCCTCGGTCTCGCATCTCCAACCAGGTCTGACGTATACAGTTCCCGATAACTACACAGATGAAACGACATTTCTTGATCATCTCCAGCGCAATCCAAGATTACAGCCCTACGAGTTCTGGTCGCTGATGGGTGATGCCACGGTTATTGTGCAGCATCTTGCAACAGTAGTCATTTTTTGTTGCTGTTTTGTGGCTATCATCCACGACAGAGTATCACCTGTCGCAGTAGTGGGGTGGGCTACTTTGTGCACAGTTCTAGCCTGGTTCTTATGGGATCATTGGATGGGACAGGAGTTTGAGACCGTCTCCAATGTGGCATCTACACCCGCTTCAGACTCAGACCAAGCTGCAACCATACCATCGTCGGCGCTTTCAGGACGAAGTCAACAGCGCTTGGCGACTGCCAAATCAGCGTTGTTGATTTATGCGGCTTTACTTGGACTCAGTCCAATTCTCAAGTCACTTACGCGCTCTACGACAAGCGATTCGATATGGGCGCTGAGTACATGGCTCCTCATGATGAACGTTGCCTTTTTCGACTACAGCGCAGGCACAGGCGCACAGTATGAACGACACTAGTCTTTTGGATGTACGTACGGCTAAGTTGTATGACTACAGATTACCAGCGTCGATATCCACGAATTCGGCCATGATGGCGTCGGCTGTTCTCGCATCACGCCTGCCATCCACCACACACGTTTTTTCGTTGACCCTCTTCTCCATCGAAATATACGGTCTATTCCCAATCTTTCGGCGCCAGCTCCGCGCTCGATCTCCGTGGGGTCATCTCGCCCTGACCATCACTCTAGTAACCGGCGCGTGGGGTGGTCTCTTTGTCACCTTGACAGGTGGGGGTCGCAGTACATTCTTGGCAGGTGCGATCGTAGGGGTCATCCTCACTGTGCTGAGCATGGGGGTCTGCAGTTGGTGGCTCATCGGTCTCCAGAAGTACAAGAATGAGATTTATGGTCCTTGGGACCCGGCGAGGCCCATCATTCGGCGGCATTGGGATTGAGTCCTTTATCCACGGGTTCTGTTCCATAGGAGTGGCGATTCTCGCAGGCAAAGAAGGAACATTCTCCGCTCGGTGGCAGGAGTTTTGTGCTGCTCTCGTTCTGTGGAGCTCGTAAATCTTTTGCGGCAACACTTTCGTGTAAACCCGGTTTGGAGATTACTTCGAGTTGTAATCTGCCGTTTTGTCGCTGCCACTTGACGGCGTTGCCGCTGCCGGCTTTGGTGACGCACTTGTTCATTCGAGTAAGCAAGTCGTGGGTTCCAACGTCATCTCCACCAACAAAATGTACTGGCGACCATGGCAGTTTTCGCTCCATTGCCCTGCCTCTGCTCGATCCAGTCACAACAACTCTGTCCAAGCCCTCGAGCCCCGATAGCATGCTTCGAAGAAAATTCCAAAGTTCACTCCGAATGACGGCAACTGAAAGTTCAATTGCCATGTCAGTATATGTCTCACATGAAGTTATGACTGAGAGTACTCACTAACTGGCCATGCCTCTAAGTTGATCCGCAGACACCGTAGACCGGCTGCGTCAGCGCGCAATGAATTCAAGCCTCCATTCTTTGCTAGCGCAACGTACTGCAGCCACTCACGCGCAAGGTGAGGGCGATCGGAGTTCAACTCTCGCAAGTCAATTTCGATGTCTTGGATGCGCGTTCTGTATTCCACAGGAAGCGCATATAGGAAAGCCCGCATCCCGGTCAGATTTGAGAAGCGGAAGGTGTTCTGCGCGAATAGTGGACGGCGGTCGATCTCGTGGTAGGTTCTACGGCATGTCTGAAGTAGAGCAGCGCCTGGTGTCGTGCGAACCACAGTGTCATCTCGCGTTTTGGAATCGTCAATTCGGGGGTCGATAATGGGGGTGTCGGCAACGAAACACAATCCAAATATGATGTGTTTGATTTCTGCTGGCAATTGGAGGAGTGCAGATTGCGGCTGGAGATTACTAGGAGGTGGAATAACGACAGCCATGATTCTAGTAGAATGCGAATAACGATTGTAACAATTGAATATGGTATCACCTCAGCTTTAAGTGCCAACTAGAACAGCGCGGCTTGTGCTGATGGTCACGGCCTATAAGCTGCTGTCATGGTTTGTTTATCTATGCATCGTGGCGCTCTGCCGATACACCACTTCAGCTCGAGCTGAAATCTTTTCACCAGACGGATAGGCTAAGCATTAAGGTACCAAGCATTCCCTGGTAATGTCCGTAGAATGCTCGATATTTCCATGTCAGGTAGCTGAAGCGGTGAGTTGAGACCCACAGTTCCTGTCTTCGCCGATGGCGACGTTGATATCGGCGCGTTACGGAGCTGGAGCGGCTCAACATAAGTTTCTGACTGAGGGTTTTCGGCGTTTCTAGCGCTCGCTTGACGCTGTGACGCAAGATAAGAATCATGACTGTGATTCAGTGCGGACGGATGTGCTGGAGTCGGGAAAGCCTCCCTCTCCACTTTCGATGTACGTGCATATCAGGACCAACGACACCTTTGGCATCGTGATGCTACAACAAGAACTCACGGAGTTGCTCCATGATGTACGCAGGCGCCTACCCGACCTCCGGAGCCAGGGAAAAGGGCGAATTGAGCAACGGTTTTGGCCCCCAATGCACACACATGAGCGAGGCTGAAAGGAGCGGCAATGGTGTGGCAGCTTCCAGCCATCGCAATTTTCGTGGCGCCGTGCACTGGACCGAAGTGTTCAGCGCGTAAACCTCGACCACGAGAATTGACATAAGTCTCATCAATTGAGCAGTGAAAGATCAAGGCCATGTCTTTGCGGCCAGACGACAAGTCAAGGCGCTCGCGGTCCAAATCGCCTGGGCGCGGTCGAGAGGGTGCGCGCTCACGCAGCCGTGACGGGCGCGAGCCTCAGCGATACAAAGGTGCAGCTGACAACGGCGCTGCAACCCCGCAGTATGAGATTAGGCAGCCGGGTCAGCAATATGCGACGTGAGTACTGCGCGAAATGCGTCTGCCAGATGTCTGCGACAGACATTGCGGGACTTGAACTGAGAAATGGCGACCAGACCAGCCAGCGAACCCATTACCATGGGGAACTACACCGATCTCCCTCCCCACGAGAGACCAGGGTATACCCAGTCCGCCTCGTTCGCCCATCCTGCCACCACGGCAGCCAACTCGGCCGGCGTCGCGTATGCGCAGCCGGGCAACGTCCAGTATGCGCCGACCGCGCAGGGCTTTGCCTATACCGCAACGTCGGCATCGCATAACGCGCCCACGCGCACCCCGACAGCGACAGCGAAGACCAACGGCGCTTTCCAGTATGCGAGTCCGCCCACGAATATCCAGTATACCGCGAAACCTGTGGGCAGCAACAACCAGCCGCCGCCAGTCGTGCGGCACAACTCCCAGCCCATAAGCCCTTCCTACCCCCCGACGCCCCAACTTCAGTACACAGCCGTGCCGCAGGCTCCTTCCTCACAATCGCAGTATGCAACGCAAGCTCCCCCATCGCAGCCTCAGTATGCATCGCACGCGCCGCCTCCGCAGTCCCCGTACGCATCACAGGCCCCTCCATCGCCATCTCAGTATGCGACCATGCCACAGGCTCCTCAGCCGCCCCCAGCCGACCAGTCCTTCTACCCGCCTCCTCCCATGGGCAGCCACTCGCCGCGCCCTGATCATCACCGAGCTGCTTCTTACTCGGGGCCAATGAGCACACACGACGGCCGTAATGTAGTAGAGATGCGTCCACAAGGTCACCTTGGCGCAGGCGACAGGCCAGATGGGCTGCGCATGGATAGGCTGTCCGTCAGCGGGAACAGACCCGATATACAAACCATCATTCCAGGAGGCATGCCTGGGGGATTCCCCTCCGGACTACCGCCGCCGAGTCCTCTGCTCGAAGCGTACCATGGAACGTATCAGTCCATCAGTCCTATGCCTCAGGCGCTGATGCTAGATGACGATCTTGACCATCTGCCTCCTCTCGATACCCTCTCCCCTCGTGAGTCTGGTCATGGCCGCCGCCGCCGTGCTCATTCTACCTCCTCGCGACGAACGCCCAGCCCTTCGAGGTCCTCACGGCATACCGACAAGCTGGCAATGGCCGCATATGGCCGCGACGAGCGCCTTCCCGAAAAGGAGAAACGAAAAGCGAGAATATACGATGCCACTGACGACGCTCTAGCGCTTGTCGACGCACTGGCGGCGCGAACGCCGGATGTGGAGACTATATGCGAAATCCTCCCAATCCTCACACACGACCAGATGCTCGAGTTGCGAGCCGAGTACAAGCGACACTGCAAAGTACAAGGCAGGGGTATCAACATCGCCAAACACATCAAGTTGAAGACCAACGGTAATTTTGGCAAAATTGCCTACGTGACGGCCCTAGGCAAATACGAAGGCGAGGGCTACTGGGCAAACTACTGGTACCAGTCCAACTCGGCGAAGAGAGAGCTCCTCATCGAATCGCTAATGGGTCGACAAAACCACGAGATCCGCGAAATCAAAGATTCATTCAAAGACAAGCGCTACAGCGACTCCCTCATCCGCTGCATGGACAAGGAGCTCAAAGCCGACAAGTTCCGTAAAGCCGTGCTGATGGCACTGGAAGCCAATCGGCAGGAAGAAAGTGATGTGTGGCCGGTGGAATATCGCAATCGCGATGTCGATACCCTATACAAAGCCATCCGAGCCAGGGAAGGCGGAGAAAGTGCTATGCTCAGTATTGTCATCATGCGAAGTGACGCACATCTGCGCGAGGTGCTAAGGACATATGAAAGAAAGTACCAAGGCAATTTCGCGAGAGACGCTCTCAAGAAGAGCAACAACTTGGTTGGTGAAGTCATTGCGCACATTCTCAATGGCGTCAGTAAGTGTTTCCCCCATAACTCCTAGCTCTTGAATATATACTAATCACGCGTCCCAGTCAACCGTCCTGCAAGAGATGCCATGCTCCTCCACCACGCTCTCGTCGACCTCATGGAGCCCGCAAACGACGGCCGCTCCTCCAACAGTCGCCTATCCTCGCGCGAAGCAACATCCAGCAAGCATGAACGCCAACAACGGGTCGAACTACTCATCTCGCGTCTTGTGAGATTACATTGGGACCGGCAGCATCTTCTTAGAGTTAAGGCGGAGTACGAGGAGAAGTATGGTCGTGTCGTGGAGGAGGATGTGGAAGAGGCCACCAGAGGAGACTTCCGAGAATTTGCCCTTGTCATTTGCCAGACTGCGAGATAGGGGGTTTGATACATGGGAGGTTGGGAGCGAGTGATACCCGGGTTTATGTGGGCAGAGGGCATGGTCATGTAGACAGGATGGATAGGTCTGCACTTGAGCTCTCGAGAGTACCGAATTGGAAAACTATACTGAAGTTTGTCGTTGTATCGAGCAGTCCCTACCATGCCAACATGAGGTGGCTATTTGACCTTCTACCTACGTCCCACGCTGCCACGTACGACACATGAGCCTATGCTAAGATCGATGCCTATACATCCCATACGTCGAAACCCTCTCACCACCCAACAGCCAACTATCCGCCTCAGGCAGCACCATCCCCCTCCCACCATCCATCTGCTGCTGCTGCTGTTGACCTCTCCCTCCTCCGATAAACCCATCCATCCCCCCATCACCACCACCACCACCACCAGACCCGCCCCCGCCAGCCCCCTTACCACCAAGACTACCACCAAGCCCATTTCCCGTCGACGCCAAAGCAGAAGCCGCAGAAGTAGCGGGCAAGGCGTACAGAGACGACGGATTCGCATCTGCCCAACGGAGAATATTCCGACTTAGTGTTATTGGGCTTTCGTCGCCGACGGTGCTCATGTCTTGTGTGAGCTCGTTGTCTGGGTCGTCGAAGGGGAGGGTGGGGAGGGAGTCGGAGAGGTAGGAGGAGGGGTTGAAGGGCTTTAGGGCGGGGTTGAGATTATTGACGTTGTTGGTGGTGGTGTTGTTGGAGATCGGACAGTGTGATGGCATGGTTGTGGTTGGTCCGTTGTTGTTGAAGGGATTTGCGTCTTTTGCTAAGAGGGTAATGTCGTTCTGTGAGTGACTTGATTTCGCGTGGTGCGAAGGGTTCTGAAGTGGATTGTGGTCTGGCTGTTGCGAAGAATCGTCCTGTTTCTCTTGTTCTTGTGCTTGTTTTGACAATGTACGTTCCTTCTCTTTTGCTTTGAGTTTGTATCCTGCTTTGGCGTACTTGTCCGGATACCGAATTCTGAATCGATCACGTAAGTCTGTTGGATGCCGAGTTCCGAACCCTAGGTCCTCATCGTCGCGCATCGAGTGCCATACAGACCCATATTTTTCAAAGCCCTTCAGCAGATTAACGTCGTCGCGTGCGCTAAAGGCCCGGCGTGGTCGACGAGTGGTCTTTGAGAATGGTTCTCGGATACCGAGTTCGGCTAGATCCAGCTGCGTAGTAGTCTTGTTACGAGTAGCTCCACCTTGCTGGTTCTCCGTCGGGCTGGGAGAATTCGACATGAGGTTGATGTCGGAGTGGCGTTCGGTAATAGGAAGAGAATGCTGGTGAGTGTACATGGCTTGATCTGGCAAATCCGGCGGTGTCTCAACCGAGCTTATCTTCTCTTTTCCCTTGGTCTTTGGCTGTCGTGGCTTCAGACCTTCACCAGGGCAGCATACACGAAAGCGGTCTTTTAGATCAACGGCGGTGCGATTGTTGAATGCAAAGTCTTGGTCCTGTAGTATCTTCTTCCAGTTGCCTATACCGTACCTGCTGACACCTAAAAGCAGATCTTTAGTCTCTTGTTCAGACCACTTGTTTCGCTTCTTTCCACGCTTGGGCTGTAACAGCGCTTCAGAGTCCTTGGAGGCGTTTGTTGCTACATCTGTCTCATGGGCCACATCTACTAAACTAGAAGATACAGGCGGAGCTGACGCTTGGGAAAACGACGGGGTTTCGGCATGTTGAACAGCTCTGTTGTAGTCCATAGCATTCCCTTCCAGAAAGGCATGCTCATCCACATCCTTGGTCCTGGACTCTTCAAAACGTGCATCATACCCTCTGTCGCCCGCGAAAGCATTCTTTTCCCCAGTGATCGGTGGGAAGAGTCTGCCCTCAGGCGGCAGTGGCGGCGGTTGATGCAAGCCCTGTAGCAACGGCGGGATTCTAGGTCGCTTCGCTGTCCGCTTGGGAGGCTGCGGTAACCTCGGTAGTTTGATGACAGCTGGGCTGCATCCTGTGTTGTCGGGCTGAAGAAACTGTTGCTCTTGATCCCATCTTTGCCTCGCATGATCCGGGCTATCCAGAAGCAAATCAACTAGCCTTCCACTGAAAGGTGTTGTTGATGGGGCAAAGGTGGATGGCACGGGTTGTGCAGCCTCGAGCACATTCGCCTCATCATTCAATACCTGTGCTATCGGAGCACTGGGCATCGATCGTGTGGCATACAGCCTCTCCTGTCCGTCTCTTCGGAGGTCGTTCGACTGAGCGGTTTCAGGAGATGCGTTCGTTAGCATGAGCGCTCTTGGGCGTACGAAGCTGTGATTAATGTGGTGTGATGGTCGTTGCGAGCCAGGTGAGCTCATGTTCGATGGCTCTGTGAAGTACGACATGCTGCTTTGGTTCGAGATGTCCAGTAGCGTATTCAGGCGTGGCTCCATGATTGGAGGCCCTTCTCGTGGGCTATGTCGAAAGAGGTACAGATCCGTAGCGTTCGCGTTGTTTCCGTAGCGCCAAGCGGAAGCTAACGCGCATCCTTCGCAATGTCGCGACACGCTTGCGACTGCATTATTTTACAGAAGTTCTGGGGCTTTTTCATCTTGCTAAAGTTATTTCTGGGCTCATGTAGGAATCAGAGATATATTGCAAACCAAGGAACGAAGATCACAGTCTTTCGAACTAAGCCTTCACGGTACACGCAGTGCCATCGGGTTCAAGGCAGCAGATGATTTAAAGTTTTGAACATTGTATAGAGTGGATTCTATTGGTATGATGGGCGTAGCTGAGCCGAAGACCGCGACCAGAAAACCAACGCGACAGCGGCAGAACAACGCCGATCAATGCAACTAATCACAGATGAAAGACGAGACGCATATGCTAATATCGCAGGATCAAAGCACGCCAAAACATCTGCATTTCATGCAGTTCCTGGAAGAAGGAAGATCAGCACACTGTTTTCGAAACATTGAGGTCTGGCCGGCCATTATCAACGCGCCGAAGAAGCCGTACCGTTTGTCTTTGCGGCGACGTCAGACATCTTGGTGTCAGTATGGAGCTTCTCGAGGTATTCCTTGTTGCCTGCGGGGGTCGCTTTGATGGTTTCGTCACCAGGGTTCCAGTTAGCAGGGCAGACCTAGTGAAACTATGTTAGCATATAGCGTACTTGGGGGTGCATGGGAATAGGAAGCAACGTACCTCGCCGTATTTGTCGGTGAATTGGAAGGCATCAATCAGGCGAAGAGTCTCGTCGACCGATCTTCCAACAGGAAGGTCGTTGATGGTGATCTGTCGTACGATGCCGTTCGGGTCGATCAAGAACAGACCTCGCAACGCAATCCCCTCCTCTTCGATCAGCACACCGTAGTCCTTTGCAATGCTATGGTTCTTGTCGCTCAGCAGAGGAATATTGATTTTGCCCAGGCCTCCTTCCTTCTTGCTTGCGTTTGTCCAAGCAAGCAAGCTATACTCGCTGTCTGTGCTGGAGAAGACGACGCTGGCGCCACGGGCAGCGAAGTCGGATGCGCGTTCACTAAAGGCAAGGATCTCGGTCGGGCAAACGAAAGTCCAGGCCATGGGGACGAAACCGAGGACGAGCCATTGCTTGGTGGATGTGTAGGCTGTTAAGCTGAGGTCTAAGGGTTGTCAGTACGTTGCTCTGACTGATAGGCAATCGGATGGGTGAAGAAGGAGAAAGATGCAAGACGGTAAACAGTCGCATACCTTCAAATGTGCCATCGACGACTGCAGTGCCAGAGAAATGAGGCGCGGGCTTCTGGACCCGCGCCTTAGGTTGGTACGCTGTAAAAGCCATTGCGATTGTCCGTACAATACAGAAGGACGACGCGACAAGATTGGCGATACAGGCGGTATCAACACTGTTCGTAGGATTCGAGATAAGACGATTCGCGGGGACTCGTTATCAGTGTTGCACCTCGGCGGGATTGGCGTAGGTAAGGGATTGGCTGGGCCCTTGGATGTTCAACGGCTGCGGTAAACTTTGGGGTTGATGTAAAGTCGGACGTCGATCAAGGTGTCGGACTAGGTAGGTTTATGCTGCGACGGACGGAAAAGGGCGCGACACGTCAGGCGAATAGGAATAGAGGTAAAAGAGTATTCAAGATCAGCAGACAATTTGCGACAGATGTCAAAACGCGATGTCGAGGGCGACTAGCCGCAGGAAGGTAAGCGTCGACGCCTTGTGCACGTTTCTAAGGTATAAGGCTAGCCGCTACTAAGTTGTAGCAGCGCTAAAGTAAGTCCTTGTAAATAAAGGCTACGTATAATTTTTTATACTATAAAAAATTAAACCTTAGCTATTTTATATATAATAATAACTTTACTTAGATATAGTAATCTTTACTACCTAAATACTAAACTTACGTTAAAAGTAGCTAGTAATATATTATAAACTAAATAGTAAAGATAAGTATCTATAGCTAACTTATAAGTTTATATAATATATTTCTAAGTAGATATATTATAAAGCTAATAAAATATAGTTCTATTTAAACTAAATAGTAAGTATACTAAATTAAAAAGACTCTAAAGTATTTATAAACTATTTAAAAATATCTAATAGTAAGCTAGGTAGCTAAAAGTATATTTCTAAACTACTTTCTTTATAGCTATACTATATTTACTTTATTTAATATACTTTAGCTATTTTTAGTTTTCTAGTTATTAATATAGTTATCTACTTTTAGAGTATATCTAAACTTATTTATAGTAAAAAAGTAAACTACCTTTTTTAACTTAATATAATCTATAACTATATATTTATTAGTAGTTATATAATATATTAATAAGCTATACTTATATAATATACTTTTACTAAGAATCTACTTCTAAAGTATTTATACTCTAAACGCGTAAGCTATACCTTAGAATATATTTAGTAAGATTAGCTTCTTTAATATACTATAATAGATCTTAATACTTATATAACTTATCTAATCTAGAAATACTAACTATAGTTATAAAGTTAGTAAGTAAGATAAACTTTCTATCTTTAATATCTTAATTAGTAGAAAAAATAATAAAAGAAAGTTTAACTACT